TTATCTACGACCTAGCAATGATAAATTTCAAAGATAACAATTTTCAAAACCAACTTTTCTTTCGTACATATTTTTTGTAACATCAGGCTAAGTTAAATTTGTATGTTTGGATTTCAATCAATTGTATTATTTCTAAGCCAACTAAAATTAAAACCAGTGCCTTTGATGTTTTTAAGAGTTTGTTTGGATAATTTTATTTTTACATTTTTGTTAATGGTGTCTTAAATAGAGAGTGAAGTAGATAGTCATATCGTTTTCATTTGTAACTTTGTTGCAATGGAAATTAATTGCATATATATTATTAGACTCTAGTGGCGATACACATTTAAACTATAATCTAACTAAATTAATAAAAAAAATAGTAGTCTTCATATAAAAACGCTACAGTTTATGTATTCACCACTCATCTGTGAAGATCTCAACACGTACGTAAAGAAAACGTCATTGATCACGCTTACGCTAACGTCTCAAGTTTAAAGGCATCAACTAAACCACCCACCGTCCGTCAGATGGTCCGGTTCGTCATCATGATTAATACTGACTCTTAACTCATTAGCCGAAGGGCTTAAGAACGTAAGGCACTTAATCACTCGAACAAAGCACTACCTACTCGCGAGCAGCCGAAAGCATCATTCTTCGTCAGGAATGCGATTGTGTGGTACATATTATGAACGACAGCGATTGAAGAAAACATCGATAGTTTTCGCTGGTCCAAGAATATGTATCTATGTTTTGTAATTTTTACAACCTTGCATTTCTTGAATCAAATTTTTCCGTTTGCTTAATTCAAACATATTCATAAGAATTCCATAAATTAATACATCTAAATTATAGTCAATGGAGTAAAAATTTAAAATTTCATAAACGGCTTCCTGAAATTAAAAGTAGTTGAAAAAAATGCAATTTGACATTATAGTGCCTTCATCTACTATGAAATGTAATTATTTAATAATAATTAAACAAAATTAAACTAAAACCAATTTATGTATCACTTTTAATGAAAGTTAACTGAATATTTGAATGATTTTTAAGATTATTGTTAATGTTTATTGTGTAGGGATTTTACCATTTCTCTGTTGTCTTTTCGTTTCTCCTAATAAAGTAGTTTTAATTTAATTTTTGGTATAGCCAACATATGATTTGGGATGAAATGAGTCATATATATAATAATTGATAACATTATCTGAAATAGAACGGAAATCATTTCAACAATTACTCTAACCTCGTACATTGTACAAAGTGTCTTGCTTGGCATATATTGAAATTGCAACAGTTTTTATACTCATCTTTTAATTAATTAATAGTCATAAATATTTGAAATATATATACAGATAGTTTAAAAGATTTCTACAATTTTTAGTAGTCAGATAATAACAGTCTCAAAAATCACTGTTAATAGTTATTCAACTTGAATCAGTCTTATTGGTTCTTAAGCCTTTATGATCTCAGCTTGTCATATTATTCTACATTATCTAATAGGACAATAAATTTATTTATCCATATATATTTCTAAGATTCATCCAATTCAGAAGTTATCTGACAAAACGTCAGGAATGGTAAATACTCCGTGAACTAACACGTCCGCACTACACCGAGCTGTTTAATTACCATAATTAATTAGATCCCGCGGCGCAGACGTGTACAGAATGGAGGATTGATGCCGGTAACATATCGACGCCATTAGGCCGAGGTGACGAGTATCGCATCGTATTTTTAAAAGCCTGTCATTAGGAAGTGAGGTTCTGTTGTGTGATGCCGCATGCGATCAATCATACTAACGTACGTACATGCAAGTACCTACAATGATCTGTTTGCGGACCGTTAAGAATTATTCGTTAAACATTCCGACATCGATACGCGTATTATGGCTGTTGTTTCAGGCTGGTGATAGGCGTGATGGAATATAGTATGACGTGATGTAGGTTTGATGATATGAAATAAATAATATCTTTGTTCGAACATGTTTAGTGAATGGAAACTGAAAATATTATATTGTGCAACTGATGGGACCCTAAAAGACAAAGGATATATGACTGTAGATATATATTTGTAAAATATTTATAGCAATAGCATTTGGAACAGTATTATCAAGTTAATTAGACAAGCGAATTAAACAAGCTATAATAAAAACACATGTGCACATTCATGTTGCACATACTATGTTTAAAGCAATTATTAATAAAAAATACATATATATTCTAAACATAGACTTTTTTATTTACTACAATCGCCACTACCATTCCTATAAACAATAAACAACAATTAAAAATAATTAATTCATTAAAAATGGGCAACAGTCAAAAGTGACTGTGATTAAAGTAAAGTAATTTGTTTATGTTTACAGTATGAATTATATTAAGACATAGTAATACTAATTTTAATTATTGGATGTACCACAGTCCACTCTTACTAATGTTCGCGGATTTAAGAACAGAAAACATAAAAACTAATATACAAATAATGACAAAATTACAAACATTAAAGAGTCATCGAACTCCAAAACCTCATAATATAATCTAGTTGCAGTAATTATAGTGTTATGAAATAAAATCATGCATAATTAAAGGAGTAGTAACATATCTAAGACGTAAAATATATTGTAAAATGCAAAGTAAACAAGAGAACAATCAATAAGTCAATTAGCAGCGGCTGCGGTCGAGCTGGCGACTACTCACGCACGTGCTCGCCCCCTCTAGTTGTACCACTCTATGGTCTGCACTTATTATATGTGCCTGGCTTGATTTTTATTATTTAAATTTAGAATACGAGCTCTTTTTAGTTTCCATACTACGTACGTACTACTAAATAGAAATCAAATAGTATCAGACATTTTAAATCTTTTTTTACAAGTCCTGATCGAAATTATGTTATTTCAAATCAATACATAAAAGTTATATATGAATATATATATAATTATTTCAACCACCTTTGTTTCCCGAGCTTCATATGTAACAATTTTTCAAATCACGTTGTTATTTCAAATTCTAAAAAGTTTGCTCTACATATAGTAGAATAAATTTGATGCAATTAAATGAAAATCTCTTAAACAATATTAGTTATTGTTAGTAAAACTATGAGAGCGTATTTATTGTTTGTTTTCATTATTTCATAAAGCAGAAGGGTCGTCGTATAAAATTGTTGATGTATTATTATTGTATTAATTTAATAAAAAAAAGTGGTTTGTATCTAAAAATATAAATCTAATTCCTAATAAAAAAACATAACCACTCATATACCGTACGTACAATAACCATAGCATTTTTCTAATTAAAAATATAAAACCAATTCAATAAATGGCCGATGCGGTCCTTTTATTAACCTTGTATGTTCTTTCATTTCATTAGGTATTTTCTCTTATAACGACTTACCTACCGAAAAGATTTAATGGATTAAAAAACGTACCTTTCTAGAACACTTCAAACAAACCGTCTAATGAATATAAAAATCAGAGAGTATGTAATGATAATGAAAAAGCATCGAAGTAATGATTAATAGTGGGGCGGAAATTACAATGTACAGTCGAATCACGGTCGAGGTACGGCTTGATACCGAATACCGCTCGGGTTGACATAGTTTGTATTGAAAGAAAACACACTTAGATATACATATGTATATATGTATGTATAATATATGCAATACAATACTTCGTCTTACCTAGGTAGATACCTATGTAGGACATTCAGAAAGATTAATTTCCTTCAATACTCTCATTAAAATTTCTTCTTATTTTACTATGTACTTACAAATATTTTTCTCTTAAAATTAAATATAACAGTTCTACTGAAGATGTATATGCATTAGTTTAAAGAAATAATATATTTTACTTCCATTAATGAAGTCTCCATTCTTATTTCCGATATTCGTCTACTTAGTACAAATTAATAGCTATATCCATTAAATAATTAATCTCAACATCAACAGAACAAATATCTGGTAATGTGTGGTGGATATTGACCCCTCTTTGCTCACAATTCACCGTCGATTAACCACGGAATGTATTTATTTAGGGTTCCCCTTACGTCTAGAAAATAACAAAATAGCCTATACTGATGCATTTTTTGAAATAACTCCACCATAAGAAAAAAAATAATGGACATTTATTTTCTATATATGTAGATTATGTTTAAGAAATAGCTGTAATAATAAACAAAACTGTAATCAAAGTCGGTCATTATCATAACATTAGCATTACAGTCGGTCAGCAGTATCCCAGGATACTAGGGTTGGCGGAGGCGTTCCGGGAGCGTATTACTCGCCATGGCCGGATGTCCACAATATATTGCAATCCACTAAATAATGATAAGGATCCCCATTCTGGTTCTCAGTCTACAGAAAACAGACCAGAATTTATTTCTTTCATTTAAATTATACTTATTTAGTATCATGCTTATTAGATTTCCATCTAATCTTTGGGTTAAATTTCTTTACAAAGTTTAATATGATTTCTTATTCTATACACATAAAATCTAGTTTCAACTTTCACTACATAAAACTACGAAGCATATAAGGACCTATTAATGTATTTTTTTATCCTCTATATATACTGTATATTAAGGAATAAAACGTAAGATATATTACAATGTTTACTGCTGTCTAATATGTGGGGTATCATTAGTATGGATAGCGATGGACCACGACATTTATTTTACGGCATCCGGCTATAAAAGTGATCCACTGCTTGCATTCTGCTGCGCTGCCCGCTGCTGACCTATCTCATAGAAATACTAGAAGTTCCTATATGCATACATAATACATAATATATCAACTGCTACTCAAAATATTCCCTCGTTTGACATTTTCAAAGGCAATAATTCAAAAAACTTTTTCTTTAAGAACATAATTAGATATTGCACTATAGTGAACCCAAGATTATTGAATTAGTTATATTAAAATTTTCAAAGCATATGCTTAGGTATATACGTTTAAATCGCTGTTATCTGTACGTATACAAGTATGTACTTCTACAGTTACAGGACATATATTGTAATGTTACTTCCAGAATGTCTATGACCTATGATTTCTTTACCACGGCACATGTCCCCACGGAAGTGATAAAGCTTTTTGCTAAAAAACGCATTCGGGTGGCAATGGCGCGGAAGCGAAGTGAGAATTTCTCACTATGATTGAGATTATCTGGAGATGACCGAACGCATGAAGCGGACTCTGTTACACCGAGTGGAACGATAACTTTTACAGCCTATAAACTATATATAACATTTTTATATCAAATTTTGTATACTATTGTTTTTAGGCTACAATATTCCCCATATAAGATCAAATGAATATAGCCTAATTACTGTAAATATTTCATAGAATTAAATGAATACCTACGTCAAATAGTATCATAACTATATACTAATTTGATATTAGTATATAGTTTAAAATATTTTCATAGCATATTATTATCAAATCTTTGAATATTAATCAGTGACATTTTCCCATAACGTATATTTAATTCCTATAATTCACGGAACACTCAACATTATTAAAACCAATCGACAAATTAAAGGTCTCTCCATCGCCGAAATGTATTGACAAATGAACAGCAGCGGGTAAAAAGGAAATGAATCTGATTCACAGGAAATAGCACATTGATTCAACGATTCAATTTGTATGAATCAATTGAGGATGACGGCATTGACCTGTCAGTTTCGGTTTCAAATCCTTCCAAACAACTTAAGGTAAGAAGAAAAGAAAGAAATGCAAGTACACCACTATATAAAGAATAAAATCAACAACAAATTATAAGCAGTATATGTCTAAGGCAAAAAAATGTGAATAATGTTTACAATATAAAATGAAAATAAGAAGCATATTTTTATTCTAAACGTGTATAAAAAACACATACAAAGGCGTTAATGATTCAGCATGTACTTTTTACACATAGGCACTTATAAGAGTTATAAAATTGCAACATCATATAAAAATTATTAATATTAAAACAAAATTATATTTATATTACTCACATGACTGAAGCGTCCAAATTGATCTTCTGAAACAAGAAACGTAACTTTATCAATATTTATTCTAGGTTATAATTTGTAAATTATAATAAAAACAATGGCTGTATTTAATGCTATTTTATTAGAAAATAATTTAGTCCGAGTACATCCCTCTTTCCCTACAATTAGTTGCGCTCAGAACAATGTGCAGTGATTTTTAAATGATCACCCTAACGCCATCTGGCGCCCTCCGTACCGAGCAATATTGGTAATTGCTTCTCAATAGAGTTGTTCTAGAGTTGAAATTTGATGCAATAGTAATTACAATAATTAAATATATATATAGTTTGGAATTATTGATTGCATTTATAAAAATATTCACCCTACTATTGAAAAATATAAAGAGAAATTTGATACAAGTACGCTATTTGAACACAGACACCTGAGTTATTTTAGGAGTTCTTTCAAAGATTTAATTTCACTTATTTGAATAATAGAGTATACTAGACCATGTTCTATATATATAAAAATGGATTGCTGTTCCTTAGTCTCGCTAAAACTCGAGAACGGCTGAACCGATTTGGCTAATTTTAGTCTTGAAATACTTCTAGAAGTCCAGGAAAGGTTTAAAAGGTGAGAAAAATTGGAAAAATTACCGGGAAAACCCTAAAAACAGCCCTTTTCCATTTCCCATACAAACGATTTTTTGACATTAGACTTGACAACTAACTAATATGTCAATCATTCTGTTCGATTGAAACAGTAGAAATTTAATAAATATGTACCAATACCGGGTTATTGAAGACGGAATAGAGTTTGCCCGGTCAGCTATACCTATATTACTAATGACGAAATTAACGCGGACGAAGTCGCGGGCAAAAACTAGTATTAAATAAAAATGTTTAACTTAGAATGAGGTTTTATTGCAATTTTTCTAAAAGAAACATACATGTTACTTTAATGAGTACGCTGTACAAAAATTATCCTTAACATATTCATGTTTATCAAAAATATGAACTACAATATGTAAGCCAAAACAAAATACTTAGTACCAACAAATAAACATATTTTAATATCGATCAGTAAACAATTTCTAAAGACAGAGATGTTTAATTTATGTCCCATGAAATATTGCACAGTCTCTAAGCTTTTTAATATGAAAATTAATTAGTTCGCACAATTTCCATCGACGCCTCTACGAGGTAATATCGTTCCATAATTAAAATTTCCTACAAAATATTATTAAAGGCACTCAGCTTAATTTGCCAGCATTACGTACGCTCCGCTGTTTATTGGCGCTGAGAAATTAATATTTCGCGCCGATATCAAAAGTTCACGCTCAACTAGCCACCCCCGGTAGCCAATAACTACACTTCGGACGAATTGTCGCAGGTGAGCGTCAGATGCGCTTATATTATTATTTTTTCACCTTCTTTTAGGAAGATCAAACGTTGTCGTAGTTACGGCGGAGTGGCGGGCACCGGCGGGGGGTTTGTGGGGGAGCGGGTGGAGGGGGGAGGGAGGGTATTATCACGAATTATTCACGTGTCATAAAGCGCAAATTACATCAGCAGCACGTGCCCCGACATCGCATCGGCAATATTGCGAAAATCCTCCGAGACACGAGATACGATTTAAAACAATCGCCAGTGGGTGCCGAGCGCGGGTTGATTTAAAATATTGGAAAACATCGCCCACTCTCTAATATTAAATTTCCTCGATATCTATTGAAAGTCGCTGCAATACTTTTTTTTTGATGAATCGCAATTAAAAAGTCTGCGAGTTTACTATTGCATTACATTACTCGGATACGTCAAGAACATCATCATAATATTTTCCGGTAGTCGATTAGTTCGACGTCACTAAACAAATAGTTTTATTGGGGTTGGATCTGGCTCTCGCGGAGTACCTATTAAATTGTGAATGTGAGGTTAATCCGCAATTACCGCCTAGTTATCGCCGGAAGACGGCGGAGATAGTTAGGGCCCGGAAAATATTCCGTTCACTAATTATTCCGCGTAATTAAACGTGAGCATTATCGTGCGCTTCCACCACCTGCCGTCATTGTGCGAATGTGATTTACTGCGATCCCGCCGCGATTCCGTTGCGATCCCATTGCGGCACCCGTCTCTTTTTGCACCAATTAATTGTCGAATTGCTCGTATATACTAATTGCTATGAAATTAATGCGAAGAGGCCCGATCGATGAATTATGCTTCCGCGAACAACTAATCGCACCAATTAACCGTTCTCAAATGTAATATTTATATTTAAATTATTTTGCTTCGTTGCTATGAATTTATATCATAATTGTTTTATAAATAGCAACTTCGTAGCTCTTTGAAGATATATTATCTTATTTATTTCATAAAATATATTTGGACTGTATTTATGGTCCTTGACGTAGATTTGTTGACCATCATAATTATCTTTACGACAGTATTACTATCAAATCAAAATTTAATTCAATTATAAAGAAGCAGTGATAAAGCGAAGATAAAACGCAAACACGTACATAAATAAAAAGAAAAAAATAAATTTATGTGGAAAGAAAACTTCAGCAGATGAAAAAATAATACTACAATATGGTCTCGGTAATAGGCGCGGGGTCCAGTCTTATTGCGGAAGGCGCTCTCTAATTTGCTCCGGAGTACTTCCTCTTATTTTTCCGTCGCCATCCCAACGAAGACAGCCTACTTGCAAAATGCCTTAAAAATGACTTAGTATTCAAGCTATAAACACAACATTCATCAATGTTTATTGCGATTAAAATATATGAATATTTTTTATCAAAATTTATCCAAACATATGCAAAACTCGCACAAACGGCAAGACCACAAAACGCTGCGGCACAATTATTAATTAATCCATTACCATAATGCGTTGCATATGTTTGATATAATATATTTTCTAGTTTCTGTATGCGAGTATATGATGAAATATAAGCTCATTAGTAATTACGAGTGGCGCGGACGTAGCTAAATATTTTCTCGAGGCGCCCGCCCGGCCGCAGTAATTAAAAGAACGGAGGTCACCCGCTTCAGGGCTGAGGAAAATCAAAAATTATTGTCCACACATTTTTTCTTGAAAGAAATATTTTCCCCATAATAAGGACTCTTCATTATGTGCGCTTATTTTTGGTTGGGAGAACATTTCTGCTGCGTTTTTAATATACGTATAACGTGAATGTACCTACTCGTACACTTGTTAGGGTTCTGTATTCACGTTATCAAAACTGTTTCTCATTCCGCAGCCTTCCCGCACGGCCTTCCCATTTTAACAATGACTGACATCGTGAATGTAACACACATATGTACATACAATAATTAGTTAAACCATGAAATAATAATTGTATTATTATTTATATGTACATTTCAATATATGTATTTATTTATTTTCTTTAAGTCACTTTTAATCATAAGCTAAAGTCAACTAAAGGGTAGTTCCATTGGAATAAGATCGTTTTTTCTTAGTTTTATATTATATATATATATATATTTTTAAATATTGCATTGTTCTATAATCATCAATACTTTTTATAGTCATGAAATAACCTATGAAGCTATTCAGATTTTCTAAATTAGGATAATATATTTCTCAGTAAAAATAAGGCATTCCAATTTTCCCAGTACGAAACCCACACTGCGCAAATCTTGTTTGCACTTGCATATTTTTTTATTCGTATTGTGTATAAAAATGTAATGTAGATAAAAGGTGCAAGGTACCTACGAATTTCATTAAGAACGTTCTTATTAATTATTCTAAGTTTTTTTTATGTGTGCTTAACACCGGATAATTCGTTGAAATATCAAAACTTTATTTAATAGATCGCTCCTTTTATATCGTATTATCTTAAAGTACACTTAACACTTCACAAAAACTTGCATTCACCGAAAAATCAGGGAATCATCTAAGGCTTTTTTTAATTTGACAGCATCATTCATAGATGATAGCGCGGAGACCCCACTCCACAATGCGGCAATACTTACAGTAATCGCAACGCGAATGTTAATCGCAAAAGCATTTTGTTAATGAGGTAAAAAACAACCTGAGTGGCGCGTCATTAACGGAGCTGTAGCGGGAGCGGGTGTCGAGGCGGTAGCGGAGGCGGAGGCGGGGGCGGGTGACGCTCTAATGACACCTCGTGAAAGGCGAGATGAGTTATTTTTGAGAGGAAAAGGCAAACGTCAAGTGGCGCGGTTGTTTTACGTGGTGGCTGCGTTTTGTTCGAACTAACGAGGTCAATAGTTGAACCGTTCACGGCTCACGGCGCCGCGGTAACAAGTCCCCGGTTGTGTTATAACACTACCCGCTGTAGCATTGATTTAGACATATTATCTTGTACATGGCTAAGTTTTGAATGAACATTTTTGTGATTCTCGTACATTGACTCTAATGTTCTGAATGGATCGTACAATAAGTCGTAGTCACGAGTGCTACCAAGCCTCACGAGTATCAAACTTTCACAATTGAGTTTCACGTGTCACTTGACCGTGACGCAACTTCGTTTCAGTTTCCATTCACTGTACTTTCTTCTTAATAACTCTAAAGTCGTTGTGTAAAACGTTCCTACATTTAACCTCGGCATATGTATTGTACACTTTATTTTTGTTATAGACATCTTTATATATTAAAGAAAGTTGTATAAGTTACACTATTTATAACTCAAGAACGGCTTTACGAGTTATGCTGAAAATTGGTGAAGAGATAAGTTAGAACTGGGAAAATTACGTGGTATACTTTTGAATCCGTTGGACCAAAAAAATCCGAAATCTATTTCTTTACTGGCTCTAAATTGAAACAGTTTACCTGGTCAACTAGACATTTGTAATTAGGAAATTAACGAACAAAGTCGCGGGTAAAAGCTAGTTAGTTATAAAATAATAGTCTGTAACAGATAATTATTTATCTTAATTAATAAAAACACCAATATTACGAACTATCAGGCGTTAGTAATAAAAATTTAGTATGAAAACCAAGCAAACAAAATCTTAAATCTGTTGAACATTATGGTTATGCCGTTTTGAATTCCAAATCTGATATCACATATCACCCGCACAGAAGCATCTATTTTCAGCTAAAAAAAAATATGATGTCGATCAGAGGCACCGATAACTCGCTACCGTTTACGCAGCCTTTGTTCGTGACGATAATATAATACAAACAATGAAGAGCAAACCTCAAAGACCACTTCGACTAAAAAACATGCTCGCCTTATTGCGTTGCCAAGGATCGTGGGCTATAAAAACTGTAATATAATATTAAGGGTAAATGGTACCCATGTATGTATTTGAAGATTCGCGCCGAGCCGCCTTGTAAGACAGAATTGGTTAGATTTGGTCGTATTTTTTAAAGTACCTTACTGACATTTTTGTAAAATATGTATATCTTGTCGTCTAAAATAAATCGCCAAATATTAACAGGACCATAGTAAAAGAGGAATATTCAACATACATATACACATATGTGTGTGTGCGTGTTTTAAATAACATATATACCTTCAAACCAAAGTAACTTCAAATAAGAAACACCATACTTGGTAGTTATTTCTTACACGTGTTATTACGGCTCTTATGCATATTATTGTCATGTGTGTAAAATCACACAGAATTGCCGACCTAATGAATGTACACTTCATAAAAAAATAGTTCCATTTATATTATCATTTCAATTAATTAATGATAAATACTAAATATTCAAATATTTTAATTTTGTAAACTCGTTTATAAAAAAATTATCAACACACCGAAGTTTCGAACCTGCAACTAGATTAAATTTTCCTGGATCAAGTTTAATTCGTATGCTAATCATATTGAACAAACAACGCCAATTACAAATGGTCATACATATTAATTTTCGCCTGTAAAAAATATCAAAAAACTTTGTACGCGACTGTACCGGGGCGCACCTGGGTCGCTGGGGGCTCTTATTCAAATGCAAATCAAACGTTCCATTTTTAAAATCTACCATCTCGACTCGCCTTGCTTCCGGAACGACTTATGTCCAATCGTTATCAAGGTAGACTGGCTATTAATCAATTTTGAATCATATTTCGATCTCAATTAAGTGTTATTTTGAATGACAATCCATTTAGTTGTGACCTACATCTCCTGAAAGATGTCGTTTGAGACCTTTTAGGGTAAATTTCGAGTACCCAGGTGTGCTCCCGATCCGGTTAAGGGAAGCGTCCTTGTTAGGGAATCTCGTATATAATGGTTTAATGGTTTGTTTTTAATTTCATTTCACATTAAACGTCACGATTGTATAGCTAATAAAATGTTCGACATGACTTACGGTTGCTAAACATATTATTTTTATGATTTATTTACTTTTAATTCGATAAAAACTGATCTTAAAAATACTATTCACGTTTAGCAATTGTACATATAAGACAATTTTGATTTCAAACAAACTAAGATCGAACCTGTAATAATATTGACCATCAATGACCTCTACGGAGTTCGCGAGTCCTTGTTCCTTGCTGTCTACAATAGAGGCTGTTTGTTTTAAATCTAACATCAATATATTACTTCACATTTGAGTACGTCACATTTATCGTCATTACCGCGACTGGGTGTTCTATTGTTGTGTATGTTTTGTTGCTGGGGTCAACGTCCTACGTAATTACACGTGCAAACCTCACCATTGTTCTTACTTTCATCATAATTCACTATAATAGATCTGGATGAAAATAGGAGGTTATGTTTAACATGCTTAATGAAAAAAAAATAGACTCAAAAAACATACAATGGATTAGAGTGCATTAATAACAAAGATGGTATCGATTTTTTTAAAGATATTTCATCAATGCGTAACTCCAGACAACGAGGCACCGAACTAAAGTCAAGCAAATATCGCCCAAAAGTATTCGACATAAGCGCCAAAATAAACCATACGAATTCCATAGTGAAATTGAAACAAAAAACCCCACACCAGGTAATTTATAGCCAACCTTGGCACAAATGTGACAAGACGTGCGAATTTGGTACACATATGATTAATGATGGTCCTAAATTTTAATCCGAAAAAATTACGAGCTTTAAACACAATAACAAAAGTGAAGACATATTAATTTATTATTCGTAACACTTTATATAGAAAAAATATAGTCTACAAAGTTTTAGCCTGTTTTCTAAAAAAAAACTTAGAAAAAACATATCAAATATGTAAGTTAACCCCAGCTTATAACTCAAATCATTTTTGTGTATTTCCATAAAGAATATTTCAACTTTTATAATAATTCTTTCGCACAGGCATTTATACTTTTTCACGCAAATCACAAAATCGAATAAGTCACAAATAACTAACTCGTCATCCTACACAAAAGGCTTTCGTAGTTGGCCAATAATAATAGTTAATAGTTTCTCAAGTTCTATACAAAGATGATTTAGTGCGCTCAAAAGTCTTGCAGTAAATCAAGAACTATTCGATCGAATCCTCATATATTCCTATAGAACACGTGTTCTCATTACTCCGAGTTATTCCGAACGTGGCTTAAAATAAATATTTTTATTACGCCATATGTCATGTCGGTAATAAAACTTGTAATGACGCTGCAGTGACGCGAACGTCATTCTCATCCTGACGTTTAGTGTCATTCGACTTTTCTTATATTACCTGGACCATGATGCCTTCCTTATTACTGAATATTACACCTCATCTGCACCATTTGCATAGCATTCGCTGGCATTAGCCTCGGAGTCGTGTAAATATAAAATGAGCTCATTGCTTTATACTAACGAATACTTATAAATTTTAAAATTTATATCAATAAGGCATTTAAACAAAATTATTATACCTATATATGATATTTAATTTCGTAGTTTTTTAAATATTATAATATAACTCATAACCATTTCTAGAAAACCTCAAGTAGTGCAAATTCTAACTTGAGACCTTTAATCGTTATTTATAAAATTATAATGACTTTTCTATGATGAACCTATTCAGGCTTGTCAATAATAATTTTCTCAAAACTGAGTGGTAACCAAAATAAGGACAAACAAAATAACGCCTTACTTACATAACTTCTTTCCTGAATAACATTATTATACGTATCTTTTTCCTTCCCGAACTTTCGTTTGTAGAATTGATCAATGGTACTAGCCCTCATACAGTTAAAAGCCTCATAATAAGATGCAAACTATTAAATGTAAGTGCACGATCCATTCGTAGTCATTTTGAAATAAAACGAGTAACAATGAGTATATAAGCTAATCTTCAAAACTATTTATTCAATGAATTTTTTAACTTTACGGTGATTCACCTTAGAGATTATTTGGTCCTTACATTTTCCTACTAATTAAGTTAGTCATTCCTGAACACAATGGTAGAGCACTTGAGAATTTAAAAAATAAATATATTTTTTGGTTCCTTTAACATAAAATCACCGTTCGATTAGACGCATTATATATATGAAAGAACATTAATAAGAGATCATACTCGAAATGGCCACTCAGTTCAATAACGTTTCTCGAATTATAAATAAAAAGCCGCCGCCACTCAAACTCCATCCAGGCAAATAAAATTCATATACGTAAAGTAATAACAGAGGGCATCAAAAGGCCTCGGACTGTCAGTGCGGAGCTTTCCTTTTAATTAGACCCTAAGTACTCGTTAAAAAACAAGATCTTCCCAAACAGACAAAACAGGTACTAACAAACGCCGTCCATATAAAAAACGCTTGATAAATAAGTGGAAAAATACAGGTAAGTCCAAGAGGGTTTTTGTACGTCCCGACCGGCCACTTAGGTCATCCTGCGAAATAAAGGCCCAAGTTTTTTATATCGCTTTTAAATGCGAAGCCCGTACGTCCATGCTCCATGGCCGCCTCATCCCCTTCTACGATAATGTGAAAGGAAACAAACGAAAGAAAATGTTTCCGAGCACCCCGTTCACTTTTATTGAACGTTTGTACGTAGTTTCGATTGCAAATAGTTCCTGTAATTCAGTTAGCTGGTTCTGCGATACGAATAAAAATTGAGCATCGGAAAATGTCTATTGGACGGCTGCGTGCCTTGTAAAAAGCGAATCGTTTTGTACAATAGCATTACCGTACAGTTGCGATGTTGTTATTGTTCCGATAAACTCGTAGCTTAACTCCTAGTTCTTATGAGAACTAACTTTTTCAGGTATTCTTTAAAAGTGGGTTTTAATCATCAATTTGAATTAAACAATTCGGGGTGGAAACGTTTCATCAGTTCACATTGGACCAATCGATATGGTATAAGCGAGAA